TCCCATTGGTCCCCTTCAGTGTAAGTCGCCTGAAATTCTCCATGGCTGTCAGTGTCAATTTTTGTCAGACGCTGGGTCTGCGCGAGAAGAGTCTGCAGCTGTCGCGATCGTCTGCTGGCTATTAGATCAACAACTTTTAAGCACTTGTGATTCATTTGACACGAAGCGCACTGAAAGTACTTTAAATTTTGATCATTCTTATCATCTGCTGTCTATTTTGCTGTGTTTGCTGACGAAATAACATATTTTCCGGATGTAACCTGAACGATTCAGTCGAAAAAACTGCAAAACAATTAAGATTTTCGCAGTTGAAGTACATGTAAGTAAATTATATGGAACAGCTGAAATAGTGTTTAGCATATTATGCATACATATATATCGCATTTGCTGGACATTGGATTTGGAAATCTTTCATTGACGGCCATATTGGATCCAACTTGGTACCCTCAAATGAAACGTTCTCGACGAACCGGTTCGTTTCGGCGGAACGTCGCATTCCATTTAACGGAACGGATGGTACGTACCGGAACAACCGGAACGTTCCACTAAATGGAACACGCTATTTGTCTTGGTATTGTTTGTGACGTCACTATGCTTGTTTATTTATGACGTCACTAAAATTGTTGACTATACAAATATTGATGACGTCATGTAACCAACGGTGATACTTGATAACGTCATAGAGGGGCTGCCATCGTTTGTAGAGCCATACAATCCTTTGTGGAGGAGGTGATATTTTGGTCAAGCAGCTTTGTAGCAGTAACTTGACAAAGTAACTCTTTCCACGGGACGTGGGTCCCGATACATTTGCAGTGAAGGGGTGTTTAAAAACGAAATCCTGCTGCTGCTGCTGCTGCTGCTGGGTAAATACAGCATGTACCGGCTGCTTCATAATGTCTATGTAGGATGGTTGCTGCTGCTGCTGTAGTTGTTGTTGTTGTTGTTGCTGCTGCTTCGTGACTCCATCCCCATGGTAGGACGGCTGTCCTTCCTGTTGTCTGTGTCTTACGTGACGTTTTAAATCATGTGGCCAGATTTATTCACTCAAGCAAATATGACACTGGTACTTCATATCGATGTGTACTCTTCGGTGTCCAGGTATGAAATGAGAAGTTTTCAGTCGAATCCTCTATTTATACCCTATATGATGCATTGTGGGTAAACATATAATTCGACAACTTTGACAATTAATCAACATTTATAGTCCCTGTCAATGAGACAGTACACAAGTCAGGGAACCATCTTGTGTCTGCCTGTATCAAGTCTACTCTAAAATGGACAATATATTTATTTACAATACTGAGAGTCGTCTACCACCCACAATACGGTACTAGGGTGATCTGTGTCGATGGTACACCCTTTCCCATAACACGGGGTCTTGAAATTTGACCTTTCTAGGGTAGTTCACTCTCCTAACTTGCTATTCTCCAATGGCCATATGCATAGCTAGTGATCCCATCGTCGAGCAAATATCGCTTGTCGTCGAATGGTGACAAACCCATTTTGGTCAGTGATATGTTATAGAGTTGATGCTTGTAACTTCTAATCTGATTCATGTAAGACATGATCACCTTCTTTTGGAGAAGACATTCCTTGTATTGCTCGAAACGGGTGTGTTTTTCAATAACATATTTCTTGATGCCTTTCGCCTTCTTTGAGTCCAACAAAGGCATGGATCGCGTTGCCATGAGTTTCGTCCTTCATTTTACCCAGTACCTTCTTGTTTTTGGTATTGTAGAGGGGGCTGTCTTTCGTGTACTCCGATGTGTCGAAGTCCTCAGTCTGAATGGTATATGCTAGACTGTCAGTATCGGTAAAGAGAAGACGGGCAGAAGATTCAAATTTCCGCTTGATATAGTTGTAATGGAAATCTTACATCAGAGTTTTGGAGATGTACAGGTTGGAGAATCCGACGTAGATGGGTCGGTTCAAATAAAGTTTCGATTTAAGCATGTGGACACCGACCAAATCCTCTGTAAATATCCTGAACTCGTGGAATGTGGCTTTACATGTTAATTTCATGGCCTTCTTCTCACTGTTGACCAGTTTGACATCCATTCATTTCCTCAAATTTTCCATAGTCTTCCCGGAAACGCTATTGTTCATCAACTTGTAGAAATCTTTCTCGAAATTGTTTCGAGATAGTTTCCTTCTTTCCGTGTTATAATCAGTATAAGACTTCAGCCAAGGCGACTGCTTGAATGTTAACACTCTGTGAACCATGGTCAAACGCATCCCCAATGAGAGGTACTGTTTCAAGTTCCTATAATGTAAGACATACTTTTCCTTGTTTCTGAGATTGGGTACGAGTTTTGCTGCGGAATTGTAATGATCCAGACAGTCGCGAAGCTTTTCATCATCGTGTGGCTTTCCACAGTCTGCCAGCCTCCGCCAGAAGGTCTTGCTGTAGTCAGACAACTCGTCTTTCGTCACGGTTACTCGTTCCGGGGCCAGGGGATATTCATTGTGTAGGTCGTGGAGTTCTGGAGGATACTCTAGATCCACTTCCAATATATTTCCATCTGTCGCATCATCAGAAACTGTTGTGATATCAAGCGTGTCCTTTTCAGCATCGGTAAGCCAGGTGAAGTCATGGGTAGGGAGAGGTTGCGACATGGCCCAGCCATATAAGTTATTGGCGTCTAAATAAGTGATGTATTCTGTTGGTCTTTGGTTTTGTCGTGTCCGGGGACGTATGGATTGTTGGCCTCGGCAAATCTATGACTAATCATCGATATGCCTCCTCGCAAGCCTTTCTCAATAAATAAGTGCTGATCGATGACGGTTAGCAGTTCTAACATTGGTCATTTTTAGCGCTGCTTGCCATGCTAATCCAGGGGCGGTGTAAAAATGAGCTGCATCGAGCCCATACAATTCCAAACATATATTTCGGAAATTCTCGAACACATCAGCAAGACACAGAACATCTGTCATGACATAACGGTCGGAATATTCACCGAGATTTAGTATGTTGAATTGTTTCCAGACTTTGCAAGCATGATGGTACTTTTCATCGGATACATCTTCTCCAGTTAGACTACTGCGAAATGCTTCTTGTGATGGTAATTTGGTTTCTTGAAATCTGTGTGGACCATCGAAGTAGTCGTAGGGATACACCTGGTTTTTTAAAAGGAGCTCGATTTTCTCATCACCAAAATGTCGTGTCATCTGTTCAAATTTCTCCTTCCCTTCAGCTGATAAATTTGCGATCAGTTTCTCCAGTGATGTTTCCATAAACTGGAAGCTTTCGATGAAGTCCATACACCCTATGCAGGCAATACATACAGTGGTAGTATCTATGCCCGTGGGTATACTGATCATATAGGGGCCCATTCACGTTCTTGATCCAGCAGTAGTGGGACTTGCGTCCATCTGAAATCAGCAGTAAATCTACGTGTAAGTCAAATCTTTGCTTAGTCACGGGGATTGGAAATAAGGACCCCTTCTCATATCCCAAGACGTTGACAGTGATATTGTTGTGTTTCGAACTTACTGATGTCGGCTACCTTGACGGGGAAGGAAATACCATCAAAGTTCAACTCGCGGCGGTGATCTATGTATTTAGTAACACGGTGGGAATCTCTTTTGACTGGGTGTAATTCAGCTAGAATCGACCACATGAAACATTTTTTGTCCTTGTTTTGGACGTTGATGATGGCATGCTTAGACCTCAACTTGACCGGTAGGGAAATATAACTAGATCCTTTGAGAAGCTTGTATCGGGCAAAGTGTATCTGTATTTGAAGCACATTGTCCAATGTCCAATTACTACCCTGTCGCTGGTATTCCATGAAAGAATTCTGAATCTTCCGGATAGATTCCCGCATACTTTCGTCGATGTCAGATGACTTTAAAGTTATCTGACATTTTCCACGGAAATGGGGTGTGACTCGTTAGATACGGTCTCTCCATTTGGTTTAGAAAACTGCACTTGAATGGATAAGTACCATTTTACACCTCCCCGGACAACAACGCTATCTATTTTCTTCTTTATTGTATCGTACTGTTGATGAAGGAAAGTTGTGACGTCTAATTTAAGTAACCCTTCGGCTGGAATGGTGAAAACTTGGAAGGATCCACCGAGTGCTTCCTCTGTACATTGTTTATCTTCGTCCACGTTGGGGCTAGTTTGGCGGTCCTAATCGTTCAAAGCTTGATTGGTAGATGCATTCATTGGCGGTTGATTGTTTTCTTTGTCTCTGTCTCTGTTTTCGTCTATGCCTCCTCCTTGTTGATTGCTCTCGTGTGATTTTAAATATTCGCTGTATTTGTCAGTCCTCCAGAAATATTTTCCACAACACAAATGCAGTGGTTCCCCGTGGACTTTCTTATGCCTTGTAAGCCGATCTTTCCTTCCAAACTCTTTGTTACACACGTCACATTTCCACCTTCTATCTCCGTATTCTGCAATGTGTCTCGTAAGTGTCTTTTTGTGCTCAAATGATTTGTCACAATGTGGACAAGACCATTTCCCCTTTTTAGGCTGAGTTGATTCATTCATCTGAGTTTTTCTTTTTTCCATTGTTTCTGCAATAATAATATTAACATTAATTAGAACAATATCTGGCGACGTGCCCTGCTCGAGATGTCTTAGTCAGAATTAAATTTTGTCGGTTTCACTCCCGTATTTATAACCTTTCTATTCACTGTCTGCATTCCGATCATTTGATTGGTTAATTCATTTTGCAAAATATTGGCGTATTTTTTGTCTGACATATGATAGATTTTGAAGCATGCAGACGTGTTTTTTTCAGTGGGTCGTTTTCCTGGGCATAACGGGCATATAACACCATCTTTATCGTTTCTACAAGAGTTACTGATTAAAGGACCGAGGGTCCTAAGGTGTTCGTACGAAGACAATCAACGCTACTGTCACCAGTAATGGAGCATCACCCGATGGGTCTAAATGAACTATTGGCCGGAAAGATGTTCCTGGATATCGCGGGGACATGTCACTTTATAACGCCCTCTTTCCGTTGTGGACTTGTGACACAGCCCTAATCCAGTACACCCAATTCATGCGTGACAAACACCTCAGACTTTACAACTTGTATTCCTACATTATTTCAACATGTATGGCTAATAATTGGTTAATATTTACCTTTTTCAATGCTGATTATCGCTGAAGGTTTAGATCCTACTCGTTCAAGTGTCTGCTTTAGAATGAATATTAGCTCGTATGGATGGATGGATGGGTGGATGACGGGTTTCGCGCCTACATGAATCCGCCCTTACGGGTTTCATCTCACTGACGGAAGTCAGTGTTCTGTCGGCGTGAGGGAAGTTGCCTTCCCTCGGGGGTTGGTTTGGAGTCGTCTATTCTATTCTTTCCTTATATTATGATGTACTTTGGAGACGACTCCTTGGTCCGAAATGGTTTATCGCGCCGGATGATGTAGCTTTGGTTGTTGATTATTACTAATGTATTTGTGTCGTTGAGGGGATTCGAAATTGGCCAATGTGGCTTATATTAATGTATATATGTACATAACAAATAAAATTATTTGTTCATTTTTAAAGTGTATTTATTGCACATATTCCTGTTCTTATAGGGAGGTATATATATTATATTTGTTATGTACCTCGGGTCTCTTACTGTCGGTTGTGCCCGACAGTAGAGAAACGTCTCTGCTTCCGTTAGGTACAGTACTTTGTTTCTTTGTCAGGCATGGCCGGAGTTTGAGATTATATGAGGGGTCCCTATGATGTATGCGGATGTTTACCCTTAGTTCTTTGGTGTATGTCTCTTTAAGAAAAGAGAGAAAAAAATAAAAATAAAAATAAAGATAATTGTTTGTTAGTAGCTGATCATATGGGGGTCTATAAGTTGTTGGGCTTATAATATATGTGTCTTATTGGAATTTTTATTATATAAAAAATGGATGGGGAGATCACCGATCGTATCATATCATGGCGTTGGAGGGCGTACCGTATCCAGGCTGTCCTTTACTTATATCCTACTCTATTTTGTGTTTTGTTTTGTTCCTATATTTTGGAAGCCCTTCGAATCGTCGAAAATAAAGGTAATCTAATCTATCCCTATCCTCTGTGCCGGCGTTAACGCGCCTACTCTTTCGACAATAAAAAGAGGGATTTTTTACGTGCAGGTTTGACCTTCCTAAACGGGGACACCGTTTATAGTCCCCTACGCCGGAATGTGAGTTATTGGTGAGTGGTTAATGTCATGCAGGTGCTAGTTAATCTTGTTTTTGGCGTCCATTCTTGTAACCGTATCCAGTCTTTGCACTTTGTGGAAAACCTTTCTTCAGTACCAATGTTCTCTTTCATATAAAACTTTCCTTTAGCTTTCGTCTGTAACTGTTCGCTGTTCTGACTTTTATAATTAGTTTGTGAGCATTAGTATACGATAGTTGTTGGAGATGGGAAGGGAAGGGTACCCGACATTGGACCACCGAGGTACTGAAGTTTATAAACGACATTGGACCACTGTAGTACTGACGTCCCTATCCGACATTGGACCACCGAGGTACTGACGTCCGTACCCGACATGGGATCACCGTGGTACTGACCTCTGTACCTGACTTCTGGCCACTGTTGTACTCACGTCCCTACACGACATTAGACCACCGTGGTACTGACGTCCGTACCTGACATTGGACCACTGTAGTACTGACGTCCCTATCCGACATTGGACAACCGTGATACTGACGTTCGTACTCGACATCGGATCACCTTGGTACTGACCTCTGTACATGAGTTCTGGCAACTGCTGTGCTGACGTCCGTACCTGACATTGAAACAACGTGCTACTGACGTTCCTACCCGACATTTGACCACCGTGGTACTGACGTCCGTACCTGTCTTGTGGCCACTATTGTACTGACGCCCGTACCCGACAATAGACCACCGTGGTACTGACGTCCCTACCCTACATTGGACCACCGACGTACTGAAGATTATCATCGACATTGGACCAACGTGGTACTGACGTCCGTACGCGACATTGAACCACCGAGGTACTGAAGATTATAATCGACATTGGACCACCGTGGTACTGACGTCCGTACCCGACATTGGATCACCGTGGTACTGACGTCCGTACCTGACTTGTGGCCACTATTGTACTGACGCCCGAACCCGACATTGGACCACTGTTGTATTGACACCGAACCAGACATTGGACCACCGTGGTACTGACGTCCCTACCCTACATTGGACCACCGAGGTACTGAAGATTATCATCGACATACGACCACCGTGGTACTGACGTCCGTACGCGACATTGAACCACCGAGGTACTGAAGATAATAATCGACATTGGACCACCGTAGTACTGACGTCCGTACCCGACATTGGACCACCGTGGTATTGACGTCCGTACCCGACATTGGATCACAGTGGTACAGACCTCTGGACCTGACTTCTGGCCACTGTTGTACTGACGCCCGTACCCGACATTGGACCATCGTGGTACTCACGTCACTACCTGACATTGGACCAGCGTGGTACTGACGTCCGTACCCGACATTGGACCAACAAAGTACTGACGTCTGTACCCGACATTGGACCACCGTGGTACTGAACTCTGTACCTGACTTATGGCCACTGTTATACTGACGTCCGTACCCGACATTGGACCACGGTGGTAATGACGTCCGTACCCGACATTGTCCCACTGTTGTACTGTCGTCAGTACCTGATATTGGACCACCTTGGTACTGACCACTGTACCTGACATTGGACCACTGTTGTACTGACGCCATTACCCGACATTGGACATCCGTGGTATTGACGTCCCTACCCGACATTTGATCACCGTGGTACTGACCTCAGTTCTTGACTTCTAGCCACTGTTGTACTGATGTCTGTAGCTGACATTGGATCACCGGGTTACTGACCTCCGTACCCGACATTGGACCAACGAGGTACTGAAGTGTATAAACGACATTGGACCACCGTGGTATTGACGTCCGTACCCGACATTGGAGACCTATGTACCTGACTTATGGCCAGTGTTGTACTGACGCCCGTACCTGACATTGGACCACTGTAGTACTGACGTCCCTATCCGACATTGGACCACCGTGATACTGACGTCCGTAATCGACATTGGATGACCGTGGTACTGACCTCTGTACCTGACTTATGGCCCATGTTGTACTGACGCCCGTTCCTGACATTGGACCACTGTAGTACTGACGTCCCTACCCGACATTGGACCACCATGATTCTGACGTCCCTACCCGACATTGGACCACCGTAGTACTGTCGTTCGTACCCGACATTTGACTATTGTTGTACAGACGTCCGCACTTGATGTTGGACTACCGTAGTACTGACGTCCGTACCCGACATTGTATCGCCGTGGTATTGACCACTGTACCTGACTTCTGGCCACTGTTGTACTGACGCCATTACCCGACATTGTATCACCGTGGTACTGACCTCTGTACCTGACTTCTGGCCACTATTGTACTGACGTCCGTACCTTACATTGGACCACCCGGGTACTGACGTCCCTACCCGACATTGGACCACCGTGGTTCTAACGTCCGTACCAGACATTGGATTAACGTGGTACTGACATCTGTACCTGACTTCTGGCCACTGATGTACTACATTGGACCACTGTAGTACTGACGTCCCTACCCGACATTGGACCACCGAGGAATTGACGTCCGTACCCGACATTGGATCACCGTGGTGCTGACGTCCATACCTGACTTCTGGCCACTGTTGTACTGACGCCCGTTCCTGACATTGGACCACTGTAGTACTGACGTCCCTATCCGACATTGTACCACCGTGATACTGAGGTCCGTAATCGACATTGGATGACCGTGGTACTGACCTCCGTACCTGACTTATGGCCACTGTTGTACTGACGCCCGTTCCTGACATTGGACCACTGTAGTACTGACGTCCCTACCCGACATTGGACCACCGTGGCAATGACGTCCGTACCCGAAATTGGACCACCGTGGTACTGACAACCCTACCCGGCATTGGACCACCGTGGTACTGTCGTTCGTACCCGACATTGGACCATTGTTGTACAGACGTCCGCACCTGATATTGGACTACCGAGGTACTGAAGTGTATAAACGACATTGGACCACCGTGGTATTGACGTCCGTACCCGACATTGGATCACCGTGGTACTGACCTCTGTACCTGACTTATGGCCACTGTTGTACTGACGTCCCTATCCGACTTTGGACCACCGTGATACTGACGTCCGTAATCGACATTGGATGACCGTGGTACTGACCTCTGTACCTGACTTCTTGCCACTATTGTACTGACGTCCGTACCTTACATTGGACCACCAGGGTACTGACGTCCCTACCCGACATTGGACCACCGTGGTACTAACGTCCGTACCAGACATTGGATTAACGTGGTACTGACATCTGTACCTGACTTCTGGCCACTGATGTACTGACGTCTGTACCCGACATTGGACCACCAGGCTACTGACGTCCGTACCCGACATTGGATAACCGTGGTACTGACCTCAGTTCCTGACTTCTAGCCACTGTTGTAATGATGTCTGTACCTGACATTGGACCACCGTGGTACTGACGTCCGTACCCGACATTGTATCGCCGTGGTATTGACCACTGTATCTGACTTCTGACCACTGTTGTACTGAGGCCATTACCCGAGATTGGACCACCGTGGTACTGACGTCAATACCCGGCATTGGACCCATGGTACTGACTTCCGTACCCGATATTGGATCACCGTGGTACTGACCTCTGTACCTGACTTCTGGCCAATATTGTACAGACGTCCGTACCTTACATTGGACCACCGTGGTACTAACGTCCGTACAAGACATTGGATTAACGTGGTACTGACACCTGTACCTGACTTCTGGCCACTGATGTACTGACGTCTGTACCTGACATTGGACCATCAGGCTACTGACCTCTCTACCCGACATTGGACCACCGAGGTACTGAAGTTTATCAACGACATTGGACCACCGTGGTACTGACGTCCGTACCTGACTTCTGGCCACTGTTGTACTGACGCCCGTACCCGACATTGAACCACCAGGGTACTGCATCCCTACCCGACATTCGACCACCGTGGTACTGACGTCCGTACCCGACATTGGATCACCGTGGTACTGACCACTGTACCTGACTTCTGGCCACTGAAGTACTGACGTCTGTACCTGACATTGGACCACCAGGCTACTGACGTCCGTACCCGACATTGGATCACCGTGGTACTGACCTCTGTTCCTGACTTCAAGCCACTGTTGTAATGATGTCTGTACCTGACATTGAATCACCAGGTTACTGACCTCCGTACCCGACATTGGACCACCGAGGTACTGAAGTGTATAAACGACATTGGACCACCGTGGTATTGACGTCCGTAGTCGACATTGGACCACTGTTATACTGACGTCAGTACCTGATATTGGACCACCGTGGTACTGACCACTGTACCTGACTTCTGGCCACTGTTGTACTAACACCATTACCCGACATTGGACCACCGTGGTACTGAGGTCCCTACCCGGCATTGGACCCATGGTACTGAGGTCCCTACCCGGCATTGGACCCATGGTACTGACGTCCGTACCCGACATTGGATCACCAGGTTACTGACCTCCGTACCCGACATTGGACCACCGTGGTACTGAGGTCCCTACCCGGCATTGGCCCCATGGTACTGACGTCTGTACCTGACATTGGATCACCAGGTTACTGACTTCCGTACCCGACATTGGACCACCGAGGTACTGAAGTGTATAAACGACATTGGACCACCGTGGTACTGACGTCCGTACCCGACATTGGATCACCAGGTTACTGACCTCCGTACCCGACATTGGACCACCGAGGTACTGAAGTGTATAAACGACATTGGACCACCGTGGTATTGACGTCCGTACCCGACATTGGATCACCGTGGTGCTGACGTCCATACCTGACTTCTGGCCACTGTTGTACTGACGCCATTACACGACATTGGACCACCTTAGAACTGACGTCCCTACCCGGCATTGGACCACCAGGGTACTGACGCCATTACACGACATTAGACCACCTTGGTACTCACGTCCCTACCCGACATTGGACCATTCGACATTGGATAACCGTGGTATTGACCTCTGTACCTGATTTCTGGCAATTGTTGTACTGACGTCCGTACCAGACATTGAAACAACGTGCTACTGACGTCCGTACCCGACATTGGACCACCGTGGTACTGACGTCCGCTCCTGACTTCTGGCCACTGTTGTACTGACGCCCGTACCCGACATTGGACCACCTTGGTGCTCATGCCAGTACCCGACATTAAACTACCGAGGTTCTGACGTCCGTAACCAACATTGGACAACCGTGATACTGACGTCCGTACCGGACATTAGACCACCGTGGTACTGACGTCCGTACCTTACATTGGACCACCGTTGTACTGACGTCCGTACCCAACATTGGACCGACGTGGTACTGACGTCAGTACCCGACATTATACAACCGTGGTACTGACGTCCGTAGCCGACATTGGACCACTGTTGAATAGACGCCGAACCAGACATTGGACCACCGTGGTATTGACGTCCCTACCCGACATTGGACCACCGTCGTACTGACGTCCGTACGCGACAATAGATCACCGTTATACTGACCTCTGTAATTGACTTCTGGCCACTGTTGTAATGAGGTCGCACCTGAAATTGGAACACCAGGAAACTGACATCCGTACCCGACACTGGACAACAGATGTACTGACGTCCGTACCCGACATTGGAACAACGTACTACTGACCTATGTATCCCAATTTAGGCCACTTCTGTACAGACGTCCGTACCTGACATAGGACCACCAAGGTAGTGACGTCCGTATCCGACATTGGACCAGCGAGGTACTGACGTTCGTACCCGACATTGACCTTTGACCACCGTGGTATTGACGTCCGTAACGTACATTGAATCACCATGGTACTGACATCTGTACCTGATTTCTGGCCACTGTTGTAACGACGTCCGTACCTAATATCGGACCCCCGTGGTACTGACGTCCCTACCCAACATTGGACCACCGTGGTACTGACGTCCGTACCTGACTTCTGGCCACTGTTGTACTGACGTCCGTACCTTACATTGGACCACCGTTGTACTGACGTCCGTACCAAACATTGGACCACCGTGGTACTGACGTCAGTACCCGTTATTGGACCACCGTGGTACTGACCTCTGTATCCGAATTCTGGCCGCTTCTGTTCAGACGTCCCTACCCAGCATTGGACCACCAGGCTACTGACTTCCGTAACCGACATTGGACCACCGGGGTACTGAAATTTATAAATTACATTGGACCACCGTGGTACTGACGTCCGTAACTGATATTGGAACAACCTACTACTGACGTCCCTACCCGACATTGGACCACCAGGGTACTGAGGCCCGTACCCGACATTGGACCACCGTAGTACTGACGTCCGTACCTTACATTGGACCACCGTGGTATTGACGTCCGTACCTTACATTGGACCACCGTGGTAATGACGTCCGTACCCAACATTGGACCAGCGTGGTACTGACGTCCCTACCTGACATTAGACCACCGTGGTACTGACGTCTGTACCTGGCATTGGACCACCGTTGTACTGACGTCAGTATCCGACATTGGACGACCGTGGTACTGACGTCTGTATCCGACATTGGACCACCGTTGTAATGACGTCCGTACCAAACATTGGACCACCGTGGTACTGACATCAGTACCCGACATTGGACCACCGTGGTACTGACCTCTGTATCCGAATTCTGGCCACTTCCGTTCAGGCGTCAGTACCTGCCATATGACCACTAAGGTAGTGACGTCAGTATCCGACATTGGACCAGCGAGGTACTGACGTTCGTACCAGACACTAGATCACCGTTGTACTGACATCCCTCCCCGACATTGGACCACCGTGGTACTGACGTCCGTACCCGACATTGGACCACTGTTGTACCGATGTCCGTACCTGATATCGGACCACCGTGGTACTGACGTCCGTACCCGACATTGGAACAACGTACTACTGACGTCCCTACACAACATTGGACCACCGTGGTACTGACGTCCAAACCTGACTTCTGGCCACTGATGTACTGACGTCTGTACCCGACATTGGACCACCAGGCTACTGACGTCCGTACCCGACATTGGATCACCGTGGTACTGACGTCCATACCTGACCTCTGGCCACTGTTGTACTGACGCCCGTACCCGACATTGGACCACCGTGGTGCTCACGCCAGTACCCGACATTAAACTACCGAGGTTCTGACGTCCGTTACCAACATTGGACAACCGTGATACTGACGTCCGTACCTGACATTAGACCACCATGGTACTGACGTCCGTACCCAACATTGGACCACCGTGGTACTGACGTCAGTACCAGACACTGGACCACCGTGGTACTGACCTCTGTATCCGAATTCTGGCCACTTCTGTTCAGACATCCGTACCTGACATTGGACCACCAGGCTACTGACTTCCGTACTTGACATTGGAACAACGTGCTACCGACGTCCCTAGCCGACATTGGACCACCGTGGTACTGACGTCCGTACCTGACTTCTGGCCACTGTTGAACTGACGCCCGTACCCGACATTGGACCAGCGTGGTACTGACGTCCGTACCCGACATTGGATCACCGTGGTACTGACGTCCGTACGCGACATCGGACTACTGTTGTACTGACGTCCGTACCTGATATTGGACCCATGGTACTGACGTCAGTACCCGATATTGGATCACCGTGGTACTGACTTATGTACCTGACTTCTGGCCACTGTTGCACTGACGTCCGTACCTTACATTGGACCACCGTGGTACTGACGTCCCTACCCGACATTGGACCACCGTTGTACTGACGT